TGCTTAAGAAAACTGTATCGACAGTAATTAGAAGAGAACTGTAGAACTGAGTCCTGGTCCTTTGCCTCGAGAGAACTGGATGCCTGAACAGTTTGATCAAAGATTTCATAGAAGAGTCCCGACCATAAAGGGAAAATTGTGAAACAGAATTTCAAATTCTCATAGAGTCCATACTTTCTAGAACATTGAGGGGCATGAACCCCTGAAACTACTGCTCTGAAATAACCTTTAAACCTTAAATCAAGCGTATCTCAAGAAGTCTTATTAAAACCAAGTTAACAGTTTAGCTGAATTAGTCACAAGGGCTGGCTTGAGCATCATGCTCTTTGAGGCACTATCTCTATGAGACCAAATTCAAGATACGACAGGGAAGTTACAGGCAGAGAGTTCGTGTTCATGGGGGAACCGCTCACAAAAGAACGTCATCAGTGTCACTGAATGGTGCACGTAGAAATGGCTGAATTGGTGCATATTTTGTTGTGCATATTCTCAACAACCTAAGTGAAGCAGAGCAAAAGCCCTCCAGTCCCATTCTAGGAAGTTTAGATAACTGAGCTGCCAACTGAGCCATGGGGTTTGAACTGTATTTTCAGAAAATCTTCTTCAGGAGAAAGCCTGCGAGCTGCTGGGCTGACAGGAATGGGATGTGGTTCATACCCAGGCTCCCCCCGTTCCCCCCAACGCGCCTCACCTAGCAATGGAACCACGCCTGCCGCGATGACGTAGGGCACACACAGGGAGAGCAGGAGCACAGTGATGACAGGGGCCGCCAGCTTCCGGATGATGTAATGTAGGTCGATGTTTCGGATGCCGTTGGCATACACCTGGACCAGGGGAAAAGACCACCAGAGCCAGGATCAGACTCCAGACCCACAAGACCCAAACTGCTCAGGGTTCTCTGAAGGCAGGCATGCTCTGGACCACAGGTGTCACACATAGGATGCTTGCCAGCTTGAAAAGAAATGCATTCCCCTGAACACGTGACCTCCCTGAGGACCAGCGTGACTGACGAAAATATAGAACGCACAGAGAAAACGGGCTTTTCTTTGAAAAACAAAATCAACCCCAGCTAGCTACAGATGCTTATCCAAATGCGTTTCAACTGCGTGGTCTTACCTGCTCAATGACTGTTTTCAGCCACCACTGCGGGCCCATCAGGGTGATGGCTGCGATGATCTTGGCATGCAGGACTCCCAGGGCCCAGTCCTGGGTAATGGAAACCAGTGAACATACTGGGTTGGGTTCAGTGATAACCCTAGTCAAAAGGTGGCAGTTTCCTGATACTATCTCACTTCTAAAACACGCTTGCTTGGTGGCACTGCTGACATGTTAGCGGAAAACTGAAAGATTTATTGCCAACAGATCAAGTTCCATTTCCTATCGAAAATCATTTTTAACTTTGTTCATGAAAGGATTTTATCACCGATGTGAAGAGAGTCTACATACTGGAAGAAAATATTCAGAAACCATATTCCCCTGTAGAGTCTAATATCCAAAATAAATATATAACTTCTACAACTAAATAAAAACTCCAACAGCCCAATATAAAAGTGGCCACAAGTCTTAGGAAATAGAGGAAGCAGGAAGAAGAGAAAACAACAGAGAAGCAGCAGACAAGGAGGAAGCATGGAGCCTCCTCAAAGAGCTAATGCCATCAAGGGCGACAACAGGACCACAGGGAGAGGCCCAGAGAGGCAGCGGGCAGAGCTGGTGGTGACAG